TCCATACTGACCAGAAAATTAACGAAGGGTGCTCTCAACAGGCTGGGGAGATGACATTGAATGGGTGCAGACATACAAAGAAGGTTTACCACGATCAAAACACAGGCAATCCTCAATTTTTACTGTGCCCATTCATAAGTTTAACTGCACAGAACAAAGCTGTGCTGTGCTCTAACATGATGCTCAGACTGTGTATTGTATCTTGCAACCAAGATACAAGTTGTATTTTGTGGTATGGTATGGAGGCGGAACAAGATTTTGGTGAGAGCTCACCTTTTGGGAGATGAGCAAACGCCCTTGCGGTGCCTGCAGCATTACCTTCTCAGTGATACGCTCCTCCGTCCGTGACTACGTCCACACCTCCCTACTAGCCCGCTCGCTATTGCTCCTCACAATAAGTATATCCCTGAGCAGCTCAATGCCTTAACAGGTTGCAAGCACCGTCTGTCAAAGGTCTTGCATTGCCTCCCCGCTCCTTTCCTGCAATATCGTTTCTGGAAGCAGCCACTGATGGTTATTCACCACTTGAAAGCGTGTCCTTACAGCCAAGGTGAGCAAGGCAAGCCCTTCCAAACCACCTGAGGCACCCAAATCCGTCAGTACTCATTCCTTACAAAGCATTTGAGCACTTGGCGTGAAGGCTTTTTAGCACGTCCAGGGAAAGGTGGACAGACAGTAAATCCACTGGGAATCCTTGAGAAGAGCTGAGGAATAAAACAGTTGTGAAGTTTTTCTGGGCAGTAACGTGCTTTGGGTCAAAACTTCCATGGCAGAGACACATGGCTATGAAACAGGCAGGCAGACACCAAGTTTTCCTTCCTTTATCCTCTTCCCCGGCCCTGATCTCCTGTCAATTCTCCTGCCTGCCTGCTCCCAACTCCAGTCCTGGGCTCCTGCAAGCACAGAAATCATCAGCTCATCTGATTAAAGCTTGGGGAAGGTGGATCGCCCCAGGAAGAGGCCCCGAAAGCAGACCGCATCAAGCCAGTCAGATTGGGCATCGTGCTGCCTCCATTGCATTGTTTTATACCGTGGCTTTGAAGTTACGGGTATCCTGCAAGCAGGGAGAGTCAGACACCAGGAAAATTATCCTTATAGCCTCGTAGTCACTGATTCACAGGGACTGCAACGTGGCTTTAGCAGCGTTATTTTTATCTGCAGACAAGAACCTTAGAAGTGCAATAGTTTACAGTGTTGGAAAGCTCAAATCATCTTCTGGCCTGCAAGAGCATCTGCTACCGTCTGGTTTATACACTTTGCTCTTACGAGGCCTCCTGCCAAAGAGTGTGTCAGACCGCTCGCTATCACTTGATAACCCCCTAGGTTATGGAGAACAAAGCAAGGTTTGTCAGGGAAGTCTGGCCCCGCCATTTCTTACAAAACTTCCTTATTTTTTTCCCCCAAATGCATACGGCATAAATTGTGCGGACAACTCCTACGCTCTGTAGTATGGGGTCACAGATGGCCAAATAAAGGCGAGCTGTATGCATTCATGGCCTGTTCAGCCACCAGGAAGGAAATATGTCTGTACCCCAGCATTTCAGGTTCTCCAGAACTGAGCGTCTTTTGCATTTTATTTTACGAGAACCAAGTCCTCCAAGCTTTGTGTTATATGTGCACATCAGAAAGTAGTGCCGGTCGTGCACTGGTTTATTTAGAATCAATATAGGATGATGCAAAACCATGAAAAGCAGCGATCTAGATTATTTTTTTTTTTCCACCCAAATAATGCATTTGTCTTTCTTTTAGCTTTAAGGAAAGCATTTGCTTCTAGCCCAGAGATCCAGCAGATGGCTCAGGAGGACTTTATCATGCTCAACCTGGTGGGAAGTTTGTATTTTAAAATATTAATCAAAACTTTTACTGGAGAGTGGAATAAGTCATATTAAAAGCAGAAATTTATTCACTTTGCACAGCTTTGAAGTAGTATTTGGAATTCTCTTTTTCTCCCGCTTTCTCTGGGGATGAACAACAGGGTTTGCAACACACCAACACAGTTCCTCCATGGAGAGGGGGCAGGAGGACACTTTTATACGCACTACATATATTCATTAGTATGGAAATACCATTTTGTATACTCCAACCACAGGTAGTATTCTGATACAAGGAAAAAAATACCCAGTCACCTGGCTTTCTAAGTTACCTGCCTGGGGTTTCTGTCCTCATCGCCAAGAATCTAGCACGGGAGAATTTGCCCAGAACAGGGAAAGCCCATATTTGATCACATCAGAATCGTTAGTTGTTGACAGATGAGCCAAGTGCAGCTGATTCGGTCCATTCCTAGCGCTCGGAGAGTTACCCGTCACTAAGAGACTAACTAACTCCGACTGCATTCCAGCAGTGATGACAACACGGCGCCCGATGGCCATTACGTCCCTAGGATCCTCTTTGTGGGTGAGTCTCTGGGGTCAGGGGAGTATCAGGGCTGTGTTTTTCTATATGGTCCCCACTGAATCAGCGTAATAGCCCTTATTCTTTTGACCACTGAAGTTGTAGGAATAACCCAGGCTTTCAAAAGGAACAGCTTAACTGGAAAAACCAAAATTGTTTAGCGATTGGAGCCGAAGCCAGGCATCCAAAACCACTACCATCTTTTTAAAAACAGGACTGCAACGTTCTTATTCCACTAGTGGACATGAACAGCAGGTCACAGCTATTAAACGGCTAAGATACATCTGAATACAGCCTCTTATTCCAACCCTGTCCAAGGGCAGAGGAAAGGCCCATCACCAACTGTCACCAACAACTACACAAAAGGCAAACTTACCATATAACTGCCGGGGACGAAGGGGACAACTGGCAATAGCCTTGAGCCACCAGACGAGGCTTGTACGTAGAGGATCTACTCGTGATGGATTTCAGAAGTAGACTTCCTTCTTTAGCTTACAGTGGTCGACAGCCTGATGCTTCCAGATGTACCTTTCTGGCCACAAAAATGCCAATCAACGCTATTTTAAAAGGCTTTAATCCTCTCAAAATTATACACCACCGCCCCACTTCACAAAACCGGAGTTGCTAATACTTTGTACGTGTTTTTTATTCCCCTCAAGATCTCTCAATGACAGTTTGAGCTGATCTAACCGGCAAATATGGGAGCAGGATGTACGCTTATGAACCAGGAGATATTTCGACCCGTGAGTGAAACAGGCCCTTTACTGATCCCTTTTTAGCCATCACAAGTTTATACAAGACAAATGTCATTTGAGGAAGAGGGTCGAAGAGAATCGTGAGAAATGCTGAATCTATTGCTGCAGTAAAATCTGCTCAAAACCCTTTATAAACATGAATGAAATAAATTTAGTGTAAGCGCCTTAACAAAAGTTTAAAAATACATATTCCACAAGGACTGGAATTAATTCCTAAGGGTTGGTGTCTCTGCACTCCCCTCTCCTGGCTGCCCGCTTTAATAACACTTGTACAAGGATTGTATTTTTCCAAGTTCTCGATCCCCAGATCCCAACACGTTGGGATGAGCCTGATTCAAAAGCTCAGTCTAACGGAACAAACCCTTTCCCACAGACAAGCAGGCTAACAGCCACCCTGTGATTTGGGTTCACAGTCCTCTTTTCTAGTTTTCCCGCTTCAGCAGCACATAGACTTTTGTCTGACACCCACACAAAGCTTCGAACCTCACAGGATACCTGCAGAAAAAAAATTTTTAAAGACCTTTTAGAAGTCTAGCTAGCCAGACTGCCTTTAATTTCTGACCTTAAGCTGTGTGGACATAGGAATCTTCCCCTGTCATCCTTGGCATCTTCATGCTTCTCCTCAGTGACTGAAAACATAGAATCATAGAATCATTATGGTTGGAAGAGACCTCAAAGATCATCAAGTCCAACCGTATACCCGATGCCACCATGCCCACTAAACCATGTCTTGAAGCGTCACATCTAACCATTTTTTGAATACCTCCAGGGATGGTGACTCCACCACCTCCTTGGAGAGCCCGTTCCAATGCCTAATGACTCTGACAGTGAAGAAGTTCTTCCTGATACCCAACCTGAACCTCCCCGGCACAACTTGAGATCGTTTCCTCTTGTCCTATCGCTAGGTACCGGGGAGAAGAGACCGACCCCCACCTCGCTACACCCTACTTTCAGGTCGTTGTAGAGGGCGATCAGGTCTCCCCTCAGCCTCCTTTTCTCCAGACTAAACACCCCCAGCTCCCTCAGCCGCTCCTCATAAAACTTTTTCTCCAGGCCCTTGATGAGACAAGCGAAGCTGCTGCTGCACACAGAGCTCTGAGCCACGGGCAGCACCGATCCGCATGCAGCGAAGCCACGGTCACGAGAACTCAGTGCACCCCGTGGGTGCAATAGATACCCAGAATGAGGCACTGCCCACTGATTTTTAAGTAGCAGTTTATCTGAATGATTTTATAATTACCATTAATAGAGAAGAATTTTCTTTCCCAGTGCTTACAAACTTTTCTTTACTCCAATTAGCATCGTTCTGGAAAGGATACTTATATTATAAATACATTTTCTAAGTTTATCTTGTGTATGCACCTAGCTATCCTGTACTTATTGGTCACTTTTCCACAGTACAATTTTGCTTTTTTTTTTCTTTTTCTTTTTTTAAGGCATACATCTTTTAGTATGAAAGCCTTTTAGTACAGTAAGAAAGAAATGCATGCAACTATAATCTATATAAAGATAGGGTTTGTATTGTTATTGCTTTGTGACTTGTCAGGCTATTATTATTTGCTAAAACTTTTGCTGTATAATTCACTCAACAAAAATAGCAGACCACAACCCATTTCCTTTCCAAATTTCTTTTCCTTGTTCTCCCCATTATTTTATGTGCACTGCCATAATTAAAAAATTGATCCTCTGCAGAACTGAGCGAGTCTCTCTTACCACAACCTGGCCGTTAACCAAATCCATCCAGCCTCCAGCCGTGCACACCGAGTCCGTGACATGGAAATCAAGAATTCCTCAATCACTGCAAGTAAATTCTGACTAGGGAATCTTTTAATGGTCCTATACACCACCCTAAAGGAAGATGTATACATTATAGCTACAGCTGTATTCTTCCTGCAGTAATAAGAAGTTTATTAGCCAAGTTAGACATGTATTAAGGAATCCAAACAGGTGTCAGTTTAACAGAAACTAAGGTGGTTGCATCTACTCACAATGCAAAAAAAAAAAAATAATAAAATAAACCCCATCACAGCATCTCCCTATCAGGAGCATCCGATGGGAACAAATCCAACCACACTAGCTAACAAATATCTTTCTCTTGATGAGCAAAAGGGCTGGTGGGTGGGAGGAGGGTTAAATTTCTTTAGGCATTAAAGAACACAGGTAGAAGTCATCTGGGAGCTGTTTCCTAAGCACAGGCTACTGCCAGGGGCTTACAGTTAAAACCAGAGGAGACGGGTAGGGCAGCGTGAAACCCAGAAGCTGGCGTGTATTCAGAAGTGATGAGCGATTCCCTGCGATCACCACAAAAAAAAGGGAATTAGAGAGGAATTTGAAGACAAGGCCGGCGGCAGATCGAGCCCCTCTGCAAAAGCAGAGGTTTAAGCCCTACCGATCACCATCTGAATACAACCACCAGAAGCAAAATCTGTTTGGGCTGCAGTTCAACTTTATGGGAAAGCTTCGTAATGCAGGAATTTATAGATTTGTTAATCACAAAGTTGATACTCTCATCAAGAAACCCACAAACTAGCAAGAAGATCGATGCCCTTACGAGGTACGAATGCCTGGCTCAAAGTCGAGCAGAAGCAGCGGTACTTGCAAACTCCATTCGATAACACGGCTGATGGGGCCCCACTGCCCAGTTGTAATAAAGATTCACAAAAAGAGCTGTATCATGATCACCTCCTTCACGTTTATCTGCATGCAAAGCTGCGCTGACCACGGGTGAGGCCTCTGTGCCATCGCTCACCTGTGCACAAATCAGGAGTTGAAATAATGGGAAGTAACTACTAGACCATGCTTTCTAAAAAAAAAAAAAAAAAGAAAAAAGAAAAAAGACATAAGCTAAAAATCACTGGACTTGCATGAAAATCCCAGTCCTCCAACTGAACACAGTGCCACCCCAGCTGGGTTGGCAAAACTTCTTGCACAGAGATCATAACGTTGTCTTCGGAACGGATTTGAAAACTCAAGCTTAATGAAGGTTGTGCCCCATCCAATGTTGGAAACCGATTCATGCCATTCCCAATCAATGTTATCAGTCAGACTTACATAGAGACAAGTCAACTAGACATATAGAAATGACATTTTATTTTCTGAAGAACACTTGAAAAATAAAGATGAAAGCTTTTCCAGGCTTTGGAATAGAACCATCATAAACTGTGGAACCACAAAGACTCCATTTTAAAAAGGTGTTCCCTCTCCCCACCCCCATTTTTAACAAAATCCCTCATTGTGGAATGACCCACAGTAGTTTTCAAAAAAAAAAAAATACGCATTCTGAGCCAACATTAGAAATAATCCAAAATTGGTTCAGTGCAGGCGCTGCTACATTACTCTTTAACAAAGGCACATACTAATCCCCACATTAGTACTTGTAACCCATATTTAAATTTCTCCAAACTCTGTGTTTTCAAGAGACTAGAGTTATTAACAGGTAGGTGGGAAGGTTGAGCTCAGTACAGTTGTCCAGCAAGGAACTGGAGGAATTAAAGTGACAGCAAAGCAAGCGCAATGCAGTGGAACAATCTGCAAACACAAACCTTTCTTGCTTACCTTAGCAATCAGCACGTACGATCATTTCTGTAAACCCTGGCTCTCAAGAACGCTTGTTGATATGGAAGAAGGCAACGGAAAATAAGATTGGGAAAGCAACTGTCTGCCTTCACCTTAGTCAGAAAATCTCTCCATAAAACTAGGATTTCAAGATTCAAGTACACCCTACCTACAATTGAAACAGAGAGGAAATTAAAACAACCCCTTCTTGAATGAATCAGCCTAAGAAAGCACAGAAGCACAAAAAAATAAAGATATGCACAGAAATAAATACTAATCATACACTTCAAGGTGCTTTTGACTTTTCTTTTTGCTGATAGGTGAGAGTGTCAGTTTTTATCTTGAAGCTGTCTGAAATACCAGACTATTGTTAACCTATAAAAAGTGAGAGATCCTCTCACATTAGCCACAATTTTAGGAGTCTGCTGTACTTGCATCTTCTACACATATATGAAACAGGTTAAACAATTACAGTAGTCCTCAAAAGTGACTTGGATTTTGTCCTCTCATTATCAAAGATGTAATTAAGGATACTTCAGGCTATGTTAGTTTTGAACAGTTGCTTTGCTCATTTCAGAACAGGTTTCCGGACACTTGTGCAGTTCGACAAGGCTCTGCAGTGTGTTTGACAGCAGATTTCACATGATACGGTAATCATGTGCACATGATTTTGCACAGGTTCCCAGCCGTAAAAGGCAAACATTTTGGATGCCACCAGGATGCGACTGCTGCACAGAAATGCTTGTGTGTTATCTTCCACCATTCCATTTTCACCTTATCATTCCAAATATGTTTAAAACTTGATTATAAACAATTACCTCCATTAAGAGTTTGGGTTAATCTGTCAGTACTAGATATGCTCAAAGAAAATTCTGAACCTGATGTGAAATTAAGTTATGAATAGTCACAAACTGTGTTTCCCGCACTGTACAAGTACTGTAGGTGTTAGAAAACTTTTGATAAAGATGCCGAAACGTCAACTTCTGGTAAGCCCTGATTCCCAGCCTCAAGGGTAAGAAAAATAAGGTCTCTCATCAGCTCATTACACATGTTCTCAATCTTGAGATCCAATCTCACAGCATTTGGTAACTATTTTACTTGAGAGCCTTTGAAACTGAGTTCAGCTGGTAGTCAGCCATATACATCCCCTTCTGTTACGGATGCTGTGTTAAGGACAGCTTTGTGACACCAAGAGAAACTTTTTCTTTTTCTCAAACGTAACAAGGAATATTAGACCAATTGAAAAGGTAAGAAATGAGGGAAAGTCCTCTGAATAAGAGTACTGAAAATAAATACAAGCCTTTTTCCTGAGTACAATAAAACCCACTTAAGACCAAACATCAGATCTGCCAATTTTTTCCATCCATCTTACTTGTTAATGAACCTTACGGACAACCAAAAAGCCCCAGGAACTTTAAAATGTAAGGTTACCGCACTGTTGTTCCACATCACAAAAGGTCTTCAGGTTTTAGAGCTTGACACATTCTGAACTTGCTCTTTTTTTGAACCAATTTAGTACACTTCGTCCAGGGATTTCCACATTTCCTTCATTCCTGAAATCTGACTCCAGCTACTACAGACTTAGTTTTATATATAAAGAGACAAAAGCAAATTCTGGTATCGCTAGTAACTTCAGTGATCAGAGATGGAAAACAATTTCTAAAAAGGCATGTTTATGACTGCATCAAAAAACCCAATAAACTCTGCAGCGATGGTGCAAGACATCAGCATCTGACAAGGAAAAAATAAAGCATTTAGGGTGATTATAAAACAGTCACCAAAAGGTTATACAATATATTAATCAGTTTTCTCATGGATAAAGTGCATTTACCTAGCCTGAGAATAAGTAGCACATTGATAAAGGGATGCTAAAGCATGTCCCCAAGAGAGATTAGCAGAAGATCAGAGTTATCCTGAACCCTACACCCAGTTTGTCTTGGTGATTCTTGAAGACACTTCGGGAAAGACCGTCTTGCTGGTCTGGTTGAGGTACTCCATGCCAATTTAGTACATCGGTAGTACGGTCTGGTCAGCAAATCATCTCCTGCTGCTATCTGAAAACACCCACATTGATAGAAAGAGCCACTTCTGGTTTACGGTGCTTAATATTCAGCTTCTCCTCAGAGAAAACATGGTCCTGTAAGCGTTCCGCTTGCCGGCTATTAAAAAAAAAAAAAAAAAACCACCACCTAATATTAGTGTTGAGCCTTAGCACCAACAGCAGCATAAGCCTGGACTAGAACCTGATTTCCACTTAGCTGTAAGAATGACATTGCAAGCTGACACTTACAACCTGTGCAGGGCCAGCACAGCCGAGGAGTTCATTTTTTACCTCCAGAGGCAGGGACAAATGTTGCAGTGTGTTGCAAGAGAAAAAAACCTGAGGCTCTGTGTAGAAACATGGCCTTTAATGCCAGGAGTTTGAATTACCTGAGCACTTCCTTCAGAAATATTGGAATTGGGTGCTCTAAGAGCACCCAGCTAGCACTGTCTCCCAAAAACTATCCAGGTATCAAGCTAGTCTGAAAAGTGGCAAAGAACAATTTGCATATTCTGAAATAAAATTTTAAAAAGTAAATACTCAATACCTTTTCTTTTTTTCTAATGCATGCTGCCTTTGTCTCTCTTTTCCAATGTCATCTCTCACTGTGCTGAAGTCCTTAGTGTCATCAAGGAGAAGATTCTGTTGTAAAAAAGCATTGAGTGTATTAGCTGTCAATTTTCGTCTACCAAAACTATCTCCCACGTGTTGCTCTGTTTACACGATTAATTTTCAGTGCATTTCCTCCAAGTAGTTTTACAGCAATTAACTTCAAGTTAACTAAGTGGAAAAGATTCAAAGAGGCAAAAATGTTTTTTAGACTCCATTTAGTTTTTGCATTTAACAGTGAATTTGCCTCATTCAGAGATTTCTCTCAATAGTCTAAGGCACCAGGTCAGGACATCAGACTTTTCACCTACTGCACCAAAACCCAACGAGTATGCTCTTTCAGAGGTCTCCTAAATAAGCCTTATTGTTAATTCAGAGCTCAATATGCTGCTGTGTAACTCTTTAAATAATTAAATAGATCTGCAATAATTCCTCAGAAAACGTAATGGGTTTAAATTTACAATACGATTTTTAAAGGGATTCCTGGATTTTACTCCAACTTGAAAAAAAAGCCAGTCAATAAAATGAGGGCAAGAAAAAAGATCCAGTTTCTTCTGGATAGTGCTCCAGTGCAGAGCAGAAACTGACTGCTTGCACTGGTTGAGAGCTGCACAAGAGCCTCTAAGGTATTGCCCTCTAGTGCCGGTACTGAGATAGAAGGGGAAAAGCATGAGACTTCCATCGGTTAAGAACGGGAGAAAAAGAAGAAAAAGCACCAGTAGCAACAATTTTCCTATCCAGACAACGTGTTGTCCAGATCCACACACCAGTGCTTTCATAGAGATGTAGCAGGATGCAGCAAAACCAGGAAGAAATTAAGATACTACAAAGAGGACAGTGCCTGAACCTAATCCTTGTGCAACAATTAAAGCAAAGTTAGTTTACCTTCACCCCGACGATATCTCCATCTTTCAGGTGATAAGGTGCTGACTGTAAACTCTCCTGTTTTTTCTTCCGTTTCCTCTTTGAAATTTGCTGCGTCTGAATAAAATCAAAGCAGAAGATTTGTACATGGTCGATTTTGGAAATCTGCTTAAATACGTTTACTCAAGAACTGCAGCACAAACTTCTCTAAAAACAACAGTTGGATTCCGTCATTCCAGATCTTACCCAGCTAGATATTGGTAGCCACTCAAATTTTTCAGGGAAGTATTTGGCTATTTCGATTTTATCTATGGGGAGACAATAGTGAGAGGCCACTCGTTGCCTCAGTGACCAGGTTGTGCATTCTTTGGAGATATCCCACACCAAATCCGTGGAGTCATAGTAGTCCCTCTCCCCTGGTATGCCCATCTGGACTCGAAGCAGCAGTTCATGGGGGCTGTCATCAGGAAGAGAAAAGAGACCCTTCTTGCGAGTGATGCCTTTAGAATCCAGAATTCCCAGTTTGCACTCCCTCCTGCCCTCCCTTATTTTTGTTTGTGAAAAACAAACAATAAGCTCTAAAGTCTTCTCGCATCCTGACATCTGTAATCCTGCCAGACAGCACTGAAGTGAAAAGCTGCTCCATTACATCACATCTCAAATGCACTGCTGTAAGAAATAAGTTATCTTGAGATCTTACCCCAAATTCTCTTCTTTTTGCAAAGGTTCTATGCAGATTTCCACTTTGGCACCCAGCTTATAGTCACTGAAAACAAAGCAAAGACTCTATATTTCCAGTCATATATTCTAAGTTCCTGAGTAGAAAAATCACTCTTTTAGTCACGTAGACCTGTGTTTATCTGGAAAACCAAATCGAGAGGCTGTCGGAACAAAACTGAAAAACCCAGAGAAGTACAAAAATTGCATTTAAAAACACCTAAATTAAAGCTTAGCAGAGTAAACACAGTATGATCTCCTTAGGCTCACACCTTCTCCCTTCCACAGCTCTTGAGTTAAAAAACATGCTCGGCAAAAAACCTGAAGTAACCAGAGATGACCTTTCTGTTGACATTTGACTGAGCTGATTTCTGTCTCCGCCAATCCATCCCACAATCCAGTCAACAGTCAGTCTGATGCTACTTGCACATTCACTAAGAAACCTACTTGAGTTGCTGCTTGTTGTTTCGTAAAAGCTTGCCTGGGCGCTTACTGTCCACTGTCCACGCTCTGAGAAATGAGGGCAGTGGGACTACCTGCTCCTGGCAGCATGGTAAGGTCAGAACCTGAAAAAAGAAACATTTCTTCAATAATTTTAGCAGCCAGTCTCCTTGGAAGAAAGAAAACCACTTGATTAATTCTCAATGCGATACTGAAGCAACCAGAAATATGGCAAAGTATTTAGATTTATTCCACATCAGCTGTTGCTTGTGACTTACAGGTAGTGGCTACGATCGACATATTCACTTTTCAACCTCAAAGTAAGTTGGACTTCACTCCCTCCCAACATTTCTCAATTTCACTTACACTTCAAAAGTACCGAATTTCTTTTTTTAACCAAAATTTGTACAAGTGGGAGGGAATGAGGTTGACAGAATCATTACCCCAATCTCTAGCCAGGTGCTGAGCAAGCTCCTTTAAGCCCTTATCAAGGACACAATACTCTTTCCATGCTAAGACAATTTTCCTTGTTCACAAGATGCAAAAGGTCAGTTTTTCATAGCAGTAGTTTGGCAGAGACTGAAACTGAAGTCGTACCCAAAAGAGTAAGCGTTGGTACAGCTCAGAATCAGATGAGATACCCTTCCCCATGCAGTTTAAGCAGAACAACCAACCGGCTAAACAATAAAGAGCCTTATAATAGGATTGGTTTGTCTTTTTGTGGTTTTGAGGGTTTTTTTGTGTTTTTGTTTTTTTGTTTTTTTTTTACTGTTAGGTTGTTGGGTTTTTGGTTTGCCTTTTTTTTTGTTTTGGGTTTTTTTAGTGTATTAAAATCATACTTTTATGGTTAAAAAAAGCATTAAAAGGCATCTTAGTTTCTGGCTAAAGAAACTAAGCTATACCTTCCCGAATGACAAATGTGACCTTCTGCGCATCAAAAGCAATTCTTTATTCATTGGATTCAACATACAAAAAAAAAAAAAAAAAAGAAAGGACGCAGAAAACTAATACAGGAACAATGTGGAAATGGAAAGTGGCTTTTTAGGAAGTGCTTGTATGTGTGTGCTTCTCATGAAGAATTTTTACATTGTGAAATAAAGATAGGGCTGCAAGCCAAAGTTCCAGATGAAGTGCAACAAGGCTTTTGCAGGTCAGGACACATGACAGGTAGAATGGCAACTGCAGGGGACATACTAAGGAAGTATCTGAGCTACATGCTCCAACTGCCTCTTGGTACTTACCACTGAACATGGCATATAAGCAAATGCCATATCAGAACATACTGGAGACAAGGGAAAAGGAAATAAAAAATAGGTATTAATAGAGCTCAGTTAATCACAGTGTTGCTGTACATTTCCAATACAGGAGAACATCTAACCTGCATCTTCAGATCTTCCAAAGAAGCTTCTCCTGCTATTTCTATACTGCCAGCATAACAAAGATCCATGTCTGTGTGGATGTGTTCTGGTGAATCTTTAGACAGGGACGAGAGGAGGGAGGAAGAAACAAACAACAGAGGAGTCAGCATGACTTTATTTATCATTCTAAGAGATAACAGTCACTTCACAGGGAGATTTCGCTTAGAGAAGGGACCTGACCTCAATTTTTTTTTGGAGGGCAGTTCAAGAAATATAACATACCGTTGATAAAATACATTCTGTTAGTTGCCAAACAGGAAGAGTTCCAATTGTTCCTCTACAGCAAATTTTAAAACTAAGATCAGTTATTCAAATTGGCAAATAGTCTTAATTATTGGTGGTGACTCTGTAATGGAGAGCATGTCGCAAGGAAAGTTAAATCTGCTCTTCCTTATGCTACTGAAATCATCAGGGGAGAAAGTAAAACTCTGACAAAGTTTGAGAGAAAAGGAGGTCCTGCTCTGCAACACAACTCGGTAGCAAAGGATGAAAAATCAGTTTGTTTCCCATTTCCCAACTCACCCTCATTTCATTTTCTTTTTCCTTCTCAACCCTCACTTGACTTTCCTACCCTAGCTGGGTTTTGACTTGGATCTCACCTTTAGAAGAACAAACCCAGGTTAAAATACCGTATGAAATGTCTTTTATGCTACGTAAGATTTACTCATCACTCCTTTTACAGTTTTGCAAAAAGCAACATAGCCTGAAGTGAATTAAATGTGACATTAGGAGTCTGGCTTTCAAAGCCAATCACCTCTATGCTCACTGAGTAGATGCTTTACAATACTGCCACTGCCTTCAGTATGGAGAAGCCATTTTACTTACTGACAAGCAAACAGCCTCGGCTTCAAAATTTAGCAGAGGTCTTACCCTTGACCAAATATAGCTAAGGAACATCAGAACCGTACCATCCCGCACGTGTGACCTTGCAAAAAATTGCAGCTGTCTCCTAAGTGGCACCTTTCACCATAAACTTGCTGAAACTCATACAGTTACTGTTTCAAAAGGATTTTAAGACTTCGGATTAAAATTTTGGTTTTGACTCAAAGCCCTCAGAGCAAATCACAGACAAGCAGGCCATACAATTCCTTTCAAAAACTGATCAAGCTCACCTCCTGCAGGAGACACCTGCAAAGCGTCCATCTTGCAGGTCATCCCATTCACCTGGTCTTGTGCATGCTCTTTATGTTTCTTATGACTTGAGGACTTGAACCACCAGATGGGTATTTTCAGGAAACCCTGAAAAGTGAAAAGAAAGTTCTGGGTAGCTTATGTGTTCCAATGCAGACAATGAAAAATTTCACCTTCATCTCAGGAAGAAGGAAAAGGCTTGTTCAAATCTGAGCTTTTGTAAAGGCGCTGGTATTCATTCACCTAAGATCACGTATCATTAACTCTCAATTCCTACTTTTACAGGGATGAGAGTGAAAAAAAAAAAATGCAGCCTAACCTCACCATCCTGGCTCTGCTGTCACGGCATCCAATATTACAGGTGCAACTGTGTATTCACCAAGCTTTATTCACCATGGACTTGCAAAGATTCACGTGTCTACCCACAGGTTATTGCAAAGTCTTTTAGCCTGCTGTTTCAATTTTCAATGCCCTATGCTTCAGGGGATAGAGCAGACAACAAGTACAAGGTCCTTGTTTCTTCATGCCACTTGCATTTGGTCATTAAAATAGCGACTGTCCTTATTTCCCTCCTTCCCCTCCACAGCCATAGCTGTGTCACAACCTGAGGGAAATGTGCCAGGGTGTGAAGACAGTCACTTGTATGAGATTTTGTCAATGCAGGGCAAGAATCTGAGCTTTATGTAATCCATACAGGGGGTAAAGATCAGATGCCTTATGAACAACATTTGTGAAGAACTCCAAAATTTGCTGGATAAACAGGAAATCTTGTAAAACCACTGTATCTCTCCAGAAAAGCTTCAGCATGAGAATCATGAAAACACAATCTATGTCAAACAGAAGTTTAGAGGGAAAGGATTGATGGAAACAGACACAGGCATATCACAGCTGTCAAACTAGATTAGAACTGTAGCTAGTCCTAGAATATGCCTACAGGAATACTCAGCATTGGTGGCCTCCCATACCTCCCCCACAACCATCCCTAGCAGATACTGCTTGGTAATGTGCAACAGTTCCAAGTTTGTCCTAGGACCAACTGCGGTTATTTTTGAAGCTATTCACTTCCAAAGAACCCCTCCAATGGGCTCCTCACATCGTACTGGCACTGCAGCCTCGTGGATGCCAGGCCCTCTCCTCTCCCTCAGGGCAGAAGAGATGGCACCTCTCCATGCTCCAGAGGCAGGGCCAGGGGACAGGGAAGAAGGGCCCACATGACACTTAGCAATAGGGAATTCTTTTCCGGAGTGCTGGGAGACCTCGTGCAGGGCAGGTATGCCTCCCTTTTCTGCCTGTGGGATATCTGGATGCTTTGCCCCCTCTCAGCCACTGGCGGGCATGGGGGCCTGTGCCACGTGCAGGGAGCTGGGTGGGTGTGGGGGTCACTGAAGACCCCTGACCCTCCTGGAACACTGTTGCCACCATCTCATCCAGGGCAGCCCAAGCCTGGGATGAGTAGGAGGCACTGGAGCCCAGGGCACACAAGGGGAGGTGGAAGGCAGTCCCTGTGCTGAGGGGCAGCAGAATGGCACAGGGGAGAGAGTCCTAGGAAAGGGGTCCGTAGCCCCCCCAACCCTCCTCCTCCTCTCACATTAGGGAATCTTGCAGGCCACAGCCTCCCAACTCCCCAAACCGCCATATTTGGGCACGCCAACAGACCTCC